AAGTGTATTAGCCGTTTTTTTTTTTGAAAAAAAAGAACCGGAATATTCAAATTTAATAAAAATATTGCTAAAATCTCATTCTGATTGATCAAGTGTATTAGCCGGTTTTTTTTTTGTTAAAAAAAAAGAACCGGAATATTCAAATTTGATAAAAGTATTGCTAAAATCTCATCCTGATTAATCAAATATATTAGCCGGATTAATTTAAATGTTATAAGTCTATAAGTTTAAATGCTATAAATAATGCAAAATTGAAATATATACAAGGGATCATCTTACTGTAACAGGTAAAATCATCCATCCGGTTTGCATTTATTACATGTGCAAATCAAAATGCTATTCCGGATCTCATCTTAAAATTAATTGGATTTGATTGAAACAATATTTTATAGCATGTTTTTCCGTTTTCCATAAACATCTTTCCGTTTTTATAAATGTTTTTCCGCTTCCATAAATGTTCATAAATGAATATATAAAATAAAATTAAAATAATATAATATTTAGGGATAAATTTAACAATCAGTATGGGATGTTAGTAATACTTTGTAATTTATAACTTGCAAGTATAACTTTTTTTCTTTCCTTTTTCAGATATAAAACAGGCATACAACGAAAACAACCATATTACAATAGTACGGTATTAGGTACTATTACAGAATGTACACGTTCAGCACATAGTGATTCATCTCAAACTTTATGTTCCGGTGAAAAACGATGTAATTGTTTGTATAATAAACGTGATTTATTGTAATTTACCGTATAAAAAATGATAAATATATGTAAATTGTTTATTTAACATTAGCATTATTTGCTTAAAAAAAAAAAGGTATGAATTTAATAATTAATAATAGATTGATTAATTATATCAGTATATATGAATATGAAATAAAAATTTTCTGATAAAATTTCTAATAATATGATGTATGATACTTTTTAATGATAATTGGAAATTTTAATTAATAATTATCATTTTTGATATATTAAAAAATAATACTTGTAAATAACCACTAAATATAATTGCATAAATATTAGGCAATATAAAGTAATAAGTAATATTTTATATTTATTTCGAATTTTATTAATTCTATTTAATGTAACATTTTATCATTTAAAATCCTAACAATTATTACTTTTGATATGTTACTATCAATTATCATTTCTGATACATTAACTATCAATGATCATTTATTTCTAATTTTGCTAATTTTATTTAATGTAATATTTGATCATTTAAAATGTTAGCTAACAATTATCAAAATCTTTACTATCAGTTATCATTTCTGACACGTCATTATCAATTGTCATTTTTGATACATTATTATCAGTTATCATTCCTGATACAATAACTATCAATGATTACTTATTTCTAATTTTACCAATTTTATTTAATGTATTATTTTATCATCTAAAATTTTAGCTAACAATTATTAAAGCCTTCATTATCAGTTATCACATCTGATGCGTCATTATCAATTGTCATTTTTGATAATTATTATCAATTATCATTCCTGATACAATAACTATCAATGATCACTTATTTCTAATTTTACCAATTTCATTTAATGTAATATTTTATCACTTAAAATGCTAGCTAACAATTATCGAAATCTTTGCTATCAGTTATCATTTCTGTTACATCATTATCAATTATCATTTTTGACATGTCATTATCAATTATTACTTCCCATATGTTACAAAGCAGTATTTGCAAGAAACTACAGGATAATTGCACAATTATTAAGTAACATAAAATGATAAAGTAACATTTTACATTCTTTTATTTCTAGTTTTATTTAATATGATATTTTTGTGAATTCAAATTTTAAACTTTAAAAATAGAATGGAATTAATTTGAACTTCAAAAATTCATCATCATTCATTTCGTTGGATTTAATTTTTCTTTAAATTTTTATTTGTTCTTGAATTATCTGATGATAATGATGGTATCATCTTCACTTCTTGTAAATTATTGATTCGTTGTTCTGGAATGAAATATTTTGGTTAGCTTTCAGGATTTTAAAATTCCAGGATTTTAGGATAAATAATTTTAGTCACTAAACTTTTCATGTTAATTTTTTGCAAGGATTTATGCTAAATATCAGAAGGTATATACATGTTTTAGGTCTAAAAATTACTTGTAACAGGTAGGCTTTTATTTTAATCTTATTAAAGTAATATATCATAAAATTTAATAACATGAACAAATCCTAATTTACCTAATAAAGAAGTTATTTTACTCTAATCTTATTATTTTTAGCATAATTTTTTATTAAAATGTAAATTAACGAGTATCAATTTCATCCGCAATTGGTGCTTTTGTTCTCATATCACGTTCTGCTCGTTGTACTGCTTGATATACATCAGCATAATGCTTTTGTACTGCCTTTAATTTTAGGTTTAATTTTTGGTATAATTTTATTTTAGGTATAATTTAAGAATAATTTTCTCTCATTAACGTATGTTTATGTTTACAATTGCTAGAAACATTTTTGTAGAAAGGTTTTAAAAAAGAAGAGAGATAAAAAAAATTAAGTATAAATAAATTTTTGACAAATGAAGTATAAAATTAAGTATTAAGTAAGTTAAGTATTAACTATTAAGTATAAATGTTTCTTTTTTTAATCAAAAATAGTAAAATCCTTATCTTTTCAAAAATTTTTTTTCATCAAATTGTTTTAACTTTGGCACTAATTAGAAATAGTTTACTACAATTAATTAGTGATATTTAAAATAAATGAATAAAAAAAAATTTTCATTTCTCAAATTTCTTATCAATTAAGTGCTTGAAATTATTTCAAGATCGGGCTAAATTAGAGCTGAGTTTGATTACGATTAATTGTTAAACTACATTTAATTAGAATCAATTATTAAAGTAATTACTAGCTTACTTCATACTTTAATAATTTTTCTAATGATAATGATTGATTAATGATTATTTGAATATCATACATGCGACAGCAAAATCTCTACTACACATTGTATCATACGATAACTTTATTCGCCATCGACAAAAATTAATCTTTAATCCGGAATGGATCTTCATTCCTGAACGCACTTTTTAAAATACGGAATCCAATATCCGCGTTTTTTTTTTCGAAAGACTTACCTCTTCGAATTTGCTTCGATCATCATTGGTACTAGCGGTAGTTTCCTTAAAAATATCACCAAGCGACATTGTTACTGCCTTTTTGAATGTTTCCGCTGCATCACCCGGTGTATCCGGATCTGATTCATAAAACTGTCCGTATTTTCGATTGTAAACTCTATAAAATTCTTATTGGGAAACAAGCCTACCAGCAATTAGTAAAAGGAGAACAAACTAATTAGAATAAGTTACAAATTAAGTAATGATTAACTGAGAAAATAAGCCATTTTATTCACTTCCAACCTTTAATAGAATTTGATGATTACGTAAAAAACACGTGTGTGACATTTATCGACTAGTAGCTTTAAGAACACGTGTACGATGTGTACCACTTTGTAGCTTTAAGAGCACGTGTGTAACATTTGTCGATTAGTAGCTTTAAGAACACGTGTACGACGTGTACCACTTTGTAGCTTTAAGAGCACGTGTGTAACATTTATCGATTAGTAGCAGTTTTGAGAATACGTGTACGACGTGTACCACTTTGTGGCTATATAAAAAAGTTAAATTATTTTTTTTACAATATTAAAAATGTATGAAAATGAAATGATAACATACTGATACGTATCCAAAACATTTGCAACGTTAAGAAATGCTCGTCGTTCACGTGTTAATGCATTACCGTATAGTAGAAACCAGTTATACGTGAAAATATACGCTGTTAAAGCCATCAAACTACCCGTTACTTCATCATACGTATACATCAAATTACTGACAAAACTAAATATCACATTTTCTCATTAAATAAAAAAATCAAAAAGCAAACGAAACGTGCAATTTATTCACGTATCAGACAGACGTATTTATTTATTTGTGTACCAGATGGATGTATCTATTCATTCATGTACCAGAAAGACGTATCAAATTATCGATATAGATATGGCTAATTTTATCTATCTGCTCATTTTAATACGCTTATACTTTACTTCACTTTTTTCTCACGTATATATCAACATATTTACACGTATATTCAAATGGAGTTAAATTTTCTGGAAAAGAAACGTATATGCTACCAAAAAAATCCAATAGTTATAAGCGTGCAAAGAGTAGCATTGAAACGTGAGAAACGTTGAGATTTCTTTTTAATACTACTACTATCTGTTGAATTCATTTTATTCATTAATCTGAAAATAAAAAAAAAATTTCAGATCATAATAGGTATTAAAAGAATTTAATTTTGAATGTTATTTATTAAGTTTAAAAATTTTAAAATATATTAAAGGCATTTCATGTTATTAGACAATAATCATTAATAAATTAAACAAATACGTCGAAAAAAAAGAAAAAAAAAAGAAAAAGGAAATTCGAATCAGTTCTATATCATATAAATGTGAATATGAAAATTATCGGAAAAAATATTCAAAAAAAAGGGCCAAAATTTTTCAGTGATTCATTTTTTTTTACCAAAATAATTAAAATGATTAAATTGATAAATTGGAATTTGTCAAAAGATTAACAGAGAATTAAATTTTGAACTTAAAAAACTTTCATTTAATTTTTATTGTTGAGAAAATTTTTTACACACGTAAACAAACACGTATGCGATGTATACTGCTGAAACAACCCGCTTGTAAACTACTAAATGAATTTTATTTTAATAAATTTGTTATTTTATATCATTTCTAATTTTAATTTAACATTATTTGAAAATAAAAAAACAATTTGTTTGTTTTATTTACTTTCCATTTCATTTATTGTGCAAATTATCATAATTGTTTATTATACAAAATAAATTTTGAAATAATTCAAAACTTTATCATTTATTATTTTCTCTCATTCTGTTTTTTATTATCATTTATCAAATGCGATTCTTTG